CCCCAAAACCCCAAAACCCCAAAACCCCAAAACCCCGCAAGATTACTTGATCACAATAGATTAGTTATAAAATCTAAAAATTCATTTAATGTTCAAAAAATTCTCATTATATCGATCTATAGTCATTAATTCTTATCAGTGCTGCTAGTGCCTACTCACATTGTCGCCTTCTATATATTTCTTGGATATATCCCTTAAAGCGCTGAAGGGCTAGCTCACTCTTTATTGATTGTTAGTCTGTACATTTATCTCGAAAGGATTTTTGTACTACTGTGTTTAAGATCCACGGCCTTCAAATTCATCCTCTTCAATCTAGAATTAATTACCATTCTTGTAGGCAAGTGAATACTGTTCATCATTATTATGATACTTATAATCCATTTGATTGAATGGCTGCGACTACCTGATAATTTGATCCTTTGCGAATTATTTATTTATAGATCTTAGAGATACTACATTTTCAGATTGGTTTTCTTTGTCGTAATTGAATCCACCTCTGTGAGAAGAGTGGGTGTTATTATCTTTTTCATCTATTTCAACCAAGAATTCGAACTCCTTGGATTCATTTGTGTCATGAATTATTTCCTACCCGTTATAGTACTAATTCTGCATAAAGGGGTACATGGAATTCATTGGATCTTAAAGGCCACTTCCTCCTGCAGCGCTACTGTAATAATTAGGATGGATGTTCTAGTTCTGAACTCTTTGCAGTTTGCGACTCTTGCGACTGCTCTAAGAGTAGCGGGAAAGATTCTGACTAGCACTCAATTCCATATTTCTGTTGGGCATTTCTTCTTCTTATTAGTCTTCTTAATAGCATACAGCTTATTTCATCAAACTATTTGCTAGACTCTATTACTTTAGTAGTATTCTAGGAGGTGATTACTCCAAATAATTAATCTAGTAGTTATTTTTATTTCCAGAAGAGCATGAAGATATAATTTCTATGTTGACTTCTTACGACTCAATTAGTTCTCTATCAGATTTAATAACCGCTAATTAATTGTAGTCATTTTCCAAGTTTTGTGTTACGATGCTTTCCCTGAATGTTCCAGTAACTCCTCCTAGTCTAACTGAAGGCGACATCTAAGTATCTATGGCTCCGTTTGAATGTCTCCTAGACTCTAATATATCTATTGACAACTGACCTTTGACTCTCACATTTGACTTCTTTAAATCAGCATCGTCTATGTGCTTTTTGTGGTTATTAATTTCATCCTCTAACAAAGATTCTAACTTATCAAAATCATCTTCTACTTTATCTCTATTCTTCACTATACCTATATTCATGTGATCCTACCTCTAGGCGTTGCCTACTTATGATATGAGGTTGAATTCTTCTGAGTGAGATCCGACTGTTGCCTTTTCAGCCAATGAGGATTTATGCAGTCCATGGCACCCTGCGCCTTAATAGCCTGCTTTGTCAGAATTGCTTGGTGCTGGTTTTGAAGGTTAAAATAAGGGGATTTTTGAGTATTTTATTGATATAATTCTGTTTTTAAAATTCTTCAGCGATGATAAAGCATGGAATGGATGAAAAATATAGCCTGAGAATATACCCTTTAGTTCTTCATGAGTTGTCGCATAATCAAGCGTTATTTTGTAGTGATAGAAAAGCAGGACAGATACTCCAAGCAAGGCGACAAAGCAAAAAACAATTATTGGTAATGACATTGGATGCTAAATAAAGGCTTCTTTAATAGCATCACTAGATTCAAGTCCATTTGTCTCTGAATAAAAATCGACTCTACGACGAATATCTGTTGCTGAAGTTATGAGAACAAATATAGTGTTGAGCCAGAGGCAATTAGCAAATAAAAAGAAATTTCGGTAATTTCGTTTACCCACACAGTTGCTCACCCAAGGGCAATGGTGGTCCATAATCTCCACGCAGCTGTCGCATATTGAGCAATGTACTGTTCTTGGCGGCCTGTATATTGAACCTAAATAATTTATATTGCTTATAGAATTAAATACATGTTTGGCAGTACTTTAATTTGACAAGAGAATGCTGGGAGCCTCTAATTCCCCCTCTGATATAGTAATTTCTGAACTCATTTTTATTGATTTGAATAAACGGCGTCTCTGGTTGTCTAGGAATAAATCCTGGATCACCAAAAGCTGTTTTAAATAAAAACAGGTTGGTGCTTAGCCAAAATATGACTCCTAATATTATGAGCACTGGGTCAGAATCATCAATTGCATAGCCCTATAAACCATTGAAATTAGTAAATCAAGTTTGATGATATCATACAATTTGAGTAAATGCAAAGTTGAGCATGTTAGGCAAGTTAATGAGAATTGCAGTGCAAATAAAATTTCTGATCTTAGGGCCAACCATTAGTCTTCCCCCGAAATAGAATTTGTGAGTGCCCTCGAATAGTTGGTAGTTCTTTATTACGATGTCCTTGTTCACTTTATACTTTTAGCTTCTCTATATCGTCTGTTTAAATTCATGATGATTACTTTACTGATATTGTTTTCTTATTGAGACTTCATTAATAATAGTTTAAAATAATAGATTAATTGTTTAAATTTAAACTAAATTAAAACCTTATTTTACTCACAAGTACTTCTTTTAGTAATCCAATTATTTAACTCCCTGTCACTAGCAAGACATCTCATTCAAATCAAGAACTGCTTCCTGAGAGATCTAAGTTTAACCCAAACCAAGAATACTGAAAAACAAGCCAAGAATGTCAATACGCTTTAAACAGTGCTCCTATAAAAGGTATTGGATTACACCTTTCTCTGATATGTTTCCATTCTGAGATCAAATTTTTTGTTAAGAGTCAGGGAGAAAGTATCTGTGCTAACATCTTCTTAGGCTGCAGTGTACTATTGGATAAAGGTCTAGAGATATTTTTCCAAAGCCTGATTACAAAGTGATCTTGCTTTGTTGATTTTATTGAACTAGATGTCAATCTTGGCGATCTATAGATAATTATGATTGATTTATTTTCGTACCTCTTGTTGAATCTTAGCTACTTATTCTATGATCCTAGGTGGCATAAAATATTCAATTTGTCCAATGGTATTTGTTCTTGCCTGAAGTAGATTATAAGAGATGTCTATAACTCTAACTAAATCTCTATGAATATTTGCGACCTTCTGAGAAATTTCATAAATTGTGTGCTCAGAGTATTCTAACTCCTTTTTCATGTCTTAAAAATCTGTATCTCTCAATAAATTACTAAATTGATTATTAATTCCCTCTAATTGAACTTACACCTTAAGGTCAGATAGATCCTGTTTAAGCTCTTTTTAAAACTTGACCAGATCCTAAAGCTAGACGTTATAGCTCTAAACTTGCTCAAACATTTTAAATACTTATTCCTCAGCACTATCACTCGATTTAACATTAGACATATCTCTGATCAGCTCTTTCATAACGACATGCTCTCTCACTCTTCGATATTCAAAAAGATCGACCGCTTTTTATTTCAAGTCACTAACTCTGAGTCTTCCTACTGTTTCCTCATCAGATTAATATACTGGACCATCATTATCTCCACCAGCTGATTTGACGATATTCTCTACCGATCGTCTGGCATTAACCCTAAAAAAATCTCTCTTTTCAAGATGCTAAGTGTCTTTATAGTAATCTGCATTTAGATTAATGAAGTCAATCATTGTCAAATCTATATCATTTACAGGTATAAGTTTATTTGAAGCAGTTATTCCCAAGAAACCTTGAAAGTTAAAAGCCTATGGGAAGTAGTTCTTCATGCATTCCTTAGACTAATCTAAGTCACTCTCTGTTTAGGGGTTGACAACATACTTGATTTCAACCTGTCCCATAACTACTCTCAGATTTATGAGAATTTTCCCCTCTTTAAAATTTTCTAATTAGCATCCGAATTCTCCTTGTCCTAAATGCTCAAACTTTAAAAATCAGATGGATTACTGAATTATCGATTGACATCTTCCATTGTAGCTTGATTGATGCCATCATTCTAATAGACAGTAACTCTCCATTATCCTTGAAATTTATGCAAAAATATTCCTAGACCATTATAATAAGACTATAGCATTATAAGACATCTCTAAAAGATATAGTTACTGTAATTCCATAGATTGGGCCAAATGTATCTGGAAATTTAGGCTTGTTATGAAGATACCAAAGTCCAAATCCCGTAGGGTTTTTTTCATCCTGAGACTTCAAGTCATTAATATTAAACTGCATAAACAACTCAAAATCAGGAGAGGCAACTGGCTAAAAATAGAGTTATCATCAAATAAAGTTAAAGGTAATCAATTTATACCTGATTAAGGAATATAGCTCCATTCTAGCTTTTAATAGGAGGAATCAGCTTAACTCTTCTTTCTAAGTTAATCGATGAACCGAACGTTAGATAAGCCAAAGGATATTCACCGTATTGACTTTCAAATGAAAATTGCTCTATTCTCTATCTTATAGTAGCTTGAGACAAGGTAATCAAAGTTAGGAGTGTTGAGATCTGTATTAATGATTTTTTCATTGCTATATTTATTAATTTTATAAATTAATAATTTATTAATATGCCTTCATCAAATTAAAATTATGTTTTTTCATGGGGTTTTGGGGTTTTGGGG